TTGCCAGCCTGTTCCTCTTTCTTCTTCTCCCCACTCGCTGCAATTGTTGCAAAGTACTGGATGACACGCTTGGTGTTCACAGTCTTGCCTGCCCCGGATTCTCCGCTGGGAAGCAAAAGAGAGAGAAGCAGAGAACGTATGGGTCAGGCAGCAGGTCCCCTGGCACAGAGCCCCCCATCAGACCCGGACCAAGGAATGTACGTACGTGATCAGGATTGACTGATTCTCACGATCTGTGAAGGAGACAAAAAAATGATGCTGTCATCAGTGATCCTAGATAGCATGGAATTCAAAAGATGAGAGATATTTTATGTTATCAAAGTTAACATTTTAATTGTGCTCTTTTTACTGAATTTTTTTTTATTTGTTTTGTTTTTCTTCTTAATTTGAACTCTTCAAATACTCTGAGTATGTGTTTGATAGTGCCGAAGTATGGTCCTTCCTAACCACTTTAATGACTATTTTAAATGTTTATCTTGATCAGATTTTTTTTTAGGGTGTTTCTGTCTTGGCAAGTCTGTTTTCTAATGTAGTGATTAGGAGTAAAAATAATGAAGATAAATGTGAAAGGAAATTACTAAAACAGTGCTATATGTTATTTATTTACTTGCTCAAGACTGAAACAGTAAAAGTGAAAAAGGAGATTTTTTTCCCCTTTTTTGGGAAGTCATTAAGATTCTGATTTGTTCTTCTTGTTTCCCAGTAAGTTTCAAATACCAACTGAACTCCTGAAAAAGGATATCTTGCTTTATTAACCTGTCTTCATGAAGCCAAGACGCCAAGAACTTAAACTACACTTTGAAGACAAATTAATTCAATATTTCAGAGTTGTAACAATATATTTTGTGAACTTTTGACTGTTACCTAAATAATGAGTATGACTAGAATCCTATTCATCCTATTAATTATTGTTAACCATAACATTTTCAATGTCATTGTCCGTATAACCTAGACTTCAAAAATATATATGACAGAATTCTGACTCATGCAGAGTAGGAGCCATGATAATACTTAAAATATTTAAGCTTCATGGGAAATATCATCTCTCTCCACTCATTTAATTTAAAGACATCCCCCACTTCCCCAGGAACTATATTTTGGAAAAAAAAAAAAAAAAAAAAAAAGACTATGCAGACTTTGTATTTCTCTTAAGTTTCCTCACCAGTTAACATGAACTGATAGGCGTTGTCAGAGATGGAGAAGATGTGCGGAGGGGCCTCCTGGCGCTTTTTGCCTCGGTAGGCCAACACCACCTCCGGGTTGTACACCGGCAGCCACTTGTAGGGGTTGACAGTGACACAGAAGAGACCCGAGTAGGTCTGCAAGGACAGGACACAGCAAGTTGGCTTCCACCTGCCTTGGGGCGGCGCTTCTTGCTAGGTGCTTGAGAGGAGACTGATGCCTGTACTTACGTAGATCATCCAGGCTGCATAACGCTCTTTGAGGTTATACAGCACAGCGGGCTCATGGAGGTGGGTCATCATGGCCATGTCCTCGATTTTGTCATACTTGGGAGGGTTCATGGAGAAGACTTGGTCTTCCTTCACGGTCAGAGTCTGCCAAGGAAATGAGAGATCCRTGCATGTCAGCTAAGAGCTCGGAGGGAGAAGTAAATGCTGCTCTGAAGCTTGTATTGTACTTACTTCTCCACCTTCAGTCTTGACTGTGACTTTCCCTCCTTCTCTGCTCTGGACTGTTCCTTTCACAAAGGATTCTTTAGGATGCACCACAAACACTGATGACTTGGCATCGAAGGGCTTGTTCTGGGCCTCGATTCTCTCCTTTTCTGACTTGCGGAGGTAGGGAGCTGCCTCCCCAAAGGCAGCCATCTCGGCGTCTGGACCACTCATGGCTGCACTTACACTTGAGGTACGTCAGCAGAATGGTCTGTGAATCAACGAAATACCTTTTTGGTGGAAGAGAGAAAATCTGTGATACTTTCATCCCTCTGAATGTTTGAGTAGATGTAAACAAGACAAAAACCCACTAACTTCTTACTTTCAGTTGTCATGGAAAATTAATCCTGTGTTATAAAGAAAGCAAATGTCATAACTGCCTACTCAGTTTTCTTAAAGTCTTATACTGTTTAATTTCTTCCTAATCCTTGGGAATTAGTAAATCTTCAGATCACTTCATCTGATAGCAGAGGCTGGACATCAGTGATTGCTGTTTGAAAATCTAGCAATTCTTTCTGAGGGGGACTGCACAGATATAATACATCCAGGCTTAAATAGAAACTAAAGACAAAAATGCTGCTTTCAATCCCTGAGTAAAATCACTGATGATAGAGAAAACCCCTTATAGAAATGGGTATTAAAGAACTATAGTAAATTAAACAGAATGAAAAGGTTTATATTTTATCCAGTAGCTCAGGGAAAACAGACGCTTACCTTGGAATTTTCTCTGGAGACTGGGCAGAGCACTCCCTAGAGGCTTTTATAGAGTCTGGTATGCAGATGCTTCGGATGCTTCCTTTTCCCTTCACTCAAGATATATTTTGGCAAACTTTCTTTGGCAAAACATTACCTGGCAAACTTCACTAAGGGCATAATTGTCATTTGATTTGACTAGATATATTTAGAAATGTTTTATATCTTATCATTCCTGTGGACACATTTACTATAAATAATCTAACAGGGCTGTTAATAAGGGAATCTTGATTAGTCAAGAGAGCTTGGAGTTAGAATTTGCATGTTCCCTTGCTGTCTCTACTGATAACTTGGTTTTTGACCCCAATGCAGATTGTTTAGCAACAGTACTGCAACTACTCCAGCTTTAAAATGAGAATCATATTTTTTTATCTTTTGCAAACAGTGCTGTAAATCTAAATAATGTGGTATCAAAAAGTGCTTTCTGTAAAACAAAAATTATAAATAAATGCCATTCAGTGATTTTTCAATGTCTTATACTGAAAAGCAGAAAATCAGGTATGTATTGTAGCTCAGGATTGTGACTATAATGCTAGGTAGTTGTGGAATCCAAAAGAGAGCAGGTCAGGGTAGAAGATGAATGATTTGTGCTCAGTTAAGTAATAGATGAAGCCTTGGGTATCAAAAGAACAAAACCTGTGTGTGAGTGCATCAACACTTGGTATTTTGCATAAACTGATAATTCAATAGGTACATACTAGAGGAATGTTTATCTACAGCTGTTAAGCTCTGTAATAACTGATATGGAAGTCCCACATAGTTTCAAGGAAACCACTCACAGTTCTAACACTAGAAACAAGGAAAGGACACAGCCTAATATGGAAACATTCCTGATTTTAATAGCTGTCATGCTCTTGTTACAGAGCTGAGCTAGGATTAGTATATAACAATTAAGGTCTAGTACTTCTAGCAAGTAAGTCACTATAGCAGGTAAGTCACTATAAGTCGAAGTCGTCGTTTCTCCATTTTTATTACAGACAGCTTCCCACAGCACCTTCTTCACACCAGCCCTAACTGCACACCTGATCTCACACACAGCATTCAGCCCTACATGCACTGCCCTCCACTACAGCCTCAGTCCAATAGCCCCATCTCTCTGCAAATATCTCACACACCTACACATTCTCACAATTCCAGCAGAAAGTGTTAGAAACACAGGCTGCTTATCCCAGAGCCTTGGAGGTGGTAAGCAGTACAGTGCTTAATACTCTGGAAAAGAGGGAATTTGATGGTAGTCCTGCTCCCAGTTACTCTCCTGGTAGTCCTGGCAAGTAACTGATCTAGTTTTAGGAAAAGGGCACTGTCACTTGAGCTGCTTTAAATCCTGACTGATAAAACACGTTCTTCTCCTGGTCATGGCATTTGTTTGTTAAAAGATCAGTGAATAACATGTACAGAAGAYCAGAAAATTATGGGTGGAATCTAAGGTAATATCCAGCATTAGGCAACTCGYTGTGCATTAAGAGCCTGTTCAGAAGGGTGCTCTGGCTCTGCAGCACCTGCATTTGCAGTGTCCTGGACCCAGCCTGGAGTCCAACCTCAGAACCCCCTCCTGAGATGCCTGCAGAAGGCATGGGGAAGCTCATGAAAATACCCATGATAGCCTACCCCTGGAAAGGCCAGCCACTAGAAAATGTCAAGCACAGGGGTGTATCTGAACTCTTCACTCTCTTACCCCCATGCRTAGAAGGCAATTCCAAGAGAAGATCACCTGTAGGTAAATAGAAAAATAGGAAGTCTTCAAAGGAGGATGCAGAAAACTGCAGACAGTCTCAYAGCCTAGTGCTTCTAGGTGCTGGCTGTGAAAAAGATAGGGCCAGGTGAACCTTGGCAGCCCAGCACTGAAAAGGGAATTGGCCAGTCCAATGTAAAAAAAAAAAAAAAGATTAAATGATTGTGTGTCACTATGGACATGCCAGAGCAGTGCTATGTATGGTCTTAAACACATTTTACCTGATGAATCTGGGAAATAAAAATGTATACAATAGAGCTCAYAGGTAATGGACACAATGAAAGTTAATCTTACAGCATTATCTAACACAAAATGAGGTCTAAGAGCTAATGAAGGAGGGAAGAAAAAAAGACTGAAAATGATTTGAGTGAAAACACTGTAGTTAGTCATGGTAGACAAGCAAAGGAAACTGCTTTTTATTCTCTAGATATAGGGGGCTTACAAAAGCTGATAAGAGACACGGGGAAATTCACATTTTGTGCACCATCCATGTCACTTTGCTGCCTGCTGAAATCTTCACTCTTCCTCTTCTATCTTCTTGCTGTGAAACTCGCGGCTCTTGGCTCGCAGCTTGTTGACCTGCGACTCTGCAATGTCAGCCCGCTCCTCGGCTTCCTCCAGCTCGTGCTGGATCTTGCGGAATTTGGAGAGGTTGACATTGGACAGCTCCTCCTGTAGGGAGAGAGAGAGGATGGTGGTGAAGAGCCCAGGGCAGAGATCTCCTGCCACTGGGACCTGAGGGGCTGGAGCTGTTCCTTGGATAATAGTAGAGATTCATCAACTTCTCAGATGGTGGATATGACCCTTGGCATTATCCACAGAGTTCACCTGTTCACTGAGTGCAACATGCCCAGTTGACAGCAAGGTCTTAAAGCACCAGACTAAACCAGTGCCCAGTATGACAGGCTCTGTGTGTAGCCTACAGCCCCACTGGTGTGTTCACATCTCCCTAAGAGACTCCAAAGCAGGAGTTCCTTGTGGTGGGAGAGCACAAGCTCAACYAGGAGGATTTCTCATTCTTTTGCTCCTCAGTTCCCAGACTCTGCCTCTACCTTGCTCAGTACTTACTGCCTCCTCAGATTGTCTCTTGTAGGCCTTCACTTTCATTTGCAGCTTGTCCACTAGACCCTGGAGCCTGAGAACATTCTTCCGGTCTTCCTCAGACTAGAGCAGGTAGTAAGCAGAAAAGAGAGTGAATTGTTTCCACACTGCAGGAAGTTACCAATTCCCCTTGGGAATTGTGTGCCAACATTCTGATTCCCTGGGAAGGGGGC